AGTGAGCGGCACCTCGTCCATGTTGGTGATGTGGCTTGGCTGGATGCGTTTGTCGACGATGTGTTTGCTGCAGAAGGAGTGGAAGCTCCCCAGCTTTTCATTATAATCCGCCGGATGTTGCTGAGCTACTGTAGTCCTGGTGCGGATGGAAAAATTGCACTCAAAGGCGTGTCTCTTTGCCATTTTCAGGGTTGTTATGACAACAATGTTCTGCATAAAGCACATACCTGTTCTTTTATACACAATCCAGGCCCACACTTCCCCCTTTAACGGTCTCATGGCGGTCTCAACAACGTCCGCAGTAACAACACAAATAGGGCGCACCGCACTATAGGGCGCACCGCACATTTAGAGGGGGAAAAAAAAGAAGTTTATATGCGCCTTATAGTCGTGAAAATACTGTACTTTTATTTAAGTAATATCCTAATATAGTACCGCTACTCTTCCTTAAATGTATGGTGGAGGATGTTATTTTTCCAGGTGGATCATCATGTTGGTGTAAAAATTCCAAATCTTTTGGACCAATGCAAACAGCAACTTTTAAACAGAGGCTGCACGAGGAGAAATGGGCGTTCCCTCTCAGGAGCAGGTACAGCGTTTTGCAAGTGCACTTTTTTTAAAGTGGAGAGGGCAGGTCTTTTAAAAAATTCACGAAAATCTTCCACTTTACCTTTAAGTCAAATGTTTGGCTACTCCATCCATCCATTATAACTTCACTGAATAAAGAACAAGTTGTTCTCTTTGTAAAAACTGCTCCAGATAAAGGCGGTTAATGTTTATGTCAAAAGGAGTGTCCTGTTTTTTTGTACACAAACTTACTGAAACTACTGACATTTGGAGGTCACGCTAATATAGGGTGAAGAGAAAATGTTATGTTTGGAAAAGTGTTACTTTTGCCTGGAAATATTTTGCAATCACAATGGTTGTTTTACAGTAGGTATCTCATGATCTTTAAAACAGCAGAATTTGCACATAACTATGAATTTTGTTCCGTATTTATTGCATAATTTCATAAAATCAGATGTTACTCATGACCCGAGGAGCCTTTCTACCAAACATTTTACTTTCACTTGAGGTGTTTCTTGGACGACTCCTTTTTGCTCCTACATTTGAGTACATTGTTTTTCATTATGAAATCCCATCTGAAAAACAGTTTTCAGTGACACAAAGTACGGGGAGAAAAATGGCCCGAGAGTAGAGCGTTGAGGTCCAATCCTATAGAAGAAAAGCAGACCCATTGGAATCTGCATTTATTTTGTACATCAAATTTTAAACACTGAATTTTTAGCACATTGAATTCATTACAATAATTTTTTCTTTTAGCATCGAATTTTAAACATTGAATCTTTTTAAACATTGAATTCCTTACACAGAATATTTTCTGTTGAAAATTCACCTGCAAAAAATGGAGCTGCAAAAAAATTCACCTGCAAAAGATAATTAAAGCAATCTACACTTGATTCAGCCGAGCAGCCTATAGCCGGTGAAATTAGCTCACTTGGTCAGAAAAATAAAACTTTTCTGTTGGCCACCTATTGTGGATCAAACCAAGAGCCTTGGCAGTTAGGGGTGCTGCACTAGCTGTGATTGGCTCACTTATTTCACCCTGTCTGATTAGATGGAAAACTCTAATGGCTGTCTATTAGTAGCTACCATACTTTTTGTAATCATATTTATTTAATAAGAAAAACTCCTCATTCAGCTTCATTCAACAAAGCAATGCCCAACTGTTGTGTCATCATGTGACCAAATGAGCTAATATCATTGGCTGAAAGCTGCTGGACTGCATTGAGTGTAGATTGCTTTGGCCTCAGTTCACCAAAAGGTCGACACATTTCCAGCTAATTTTTTGCAGGGGAAATTTTTTACCAGATTAAAATTCAGTGCAAAGAATTCAAAGTGTAAAAACTTCAGTGTTTAAAATTCGGTGTACAAAAAAAGGTAGATAATGAGACTGCATTTCTTCACACTTATGCCTATCAGATAGGTACAACCTGATCCGCCTTTCGTTGAAAATCTGAATATCTTGAGAAACTTCAACTCATTATGTCGGAATGGCAGAAACATACCACCAACATGGAGGCTATGTCTCTACCGGCTTTGGCCTTCTAGAAATTGAATTTATTCATGTTTCAAACTAAGCAAAGAGAATCTTTTTAGGAGGGAGTGACTCGCGCCTAATCGGGTTCATATCTGGACTTTGAATAGGCCGTTCTAACAAATCTTATAAAGTAAACCCAGGTGTCCCAAGTCCATCTAAAGCTTTCTGGGGTTAATTTTCCACCATTACACTTTCCCATTTCTGCTAAAAGAAAACAGCCCCCACAGCATAATATTGCCAACACCATATTTTGCAGTTTACAGGAATGTTATACAATGTAAGCAACTATTTCATATTGGTTCTTATTCGATCCTCACATCATCCTCCACACTGTTTTTTATTTTTTTTCCCTCCTCCATAAAGATCAGTTGTGTAAAGTCCAGAGCTAAGAGCTTCTCATCATATCGGTGAATCCTTCATTTCGGCCTTTATGGAATGTAGAAGCCATTATGTAT